CCTTCTGTAACGAATGGGGAACTTGACAAGACAGTTTCCCTAACTGGACATCAAAAAGCCATGTTCAAATCCATGACCAAATCATTGTCGATTCCTCATTTTGGATACAAGGATCAGTTTGAGTTGGACGCTGCCGCCAACTATCGCAAGGTCATAACAAAGTACATATCGCAGCATCCAGATCGATTCTCCTTTACCAAGATCTCTTATATGCCCATCTTTATCAAGTCTCTATCGGTTGCCCTTACTCATTATCCCATTCTCAACGCTTGCTTGATTACTGGCGAAGATCCAACCGATGCTAACAAGGTTCAGATCAAATACCGTGGTTCACATAACATCGGGCTTGCTATGGATACCCCTCAGGGACTTATTGTGCCTAATATCAAAAACGTACAAAACAAATCTATTTTGGAAGTAGCTGAGGATCTTAATAGGTTGGTGGAGCTGGGTAGAAAGAATGCCATTCCTCCACCAGACTTCAAGGATGGTACTATTACGTTGTCGAACGTCGGTACAATTGGTGGAACATACGCTAGCCCAGTCCTTGTAACTTCTGAGGTAGCCATATGTGCTTTGGGAAAAACACAAACCCTTCCAAGATACAATGAAGAAGGACAAGTTGTGCCAAAGATGATTATGCCAGTGAGCTGGTCTGCCGATCATAGAGTGGTTGACGGAGCGACTATTGCTCGATTTGCTAATCTTTGGAAGCTATATATTGAACACCCTGAACTTCTCGCTAGTGAACTTCGATAATAGTAGATTTTATTATATATATATACAGATTTTCAAAAATAGCAGCGTTCCAGTTTAGCCTATCAGAAACTATGAATTTCAAAGGGATGTGTGGCTATTGTAAGTTACTGCTTTATCCAGGTCGGTGACTGGAAGCTGCGGCCTTCGTTCACAGTATCCAGGTGAACAACGATTGAAGCTGCTGCCTTCGTTCAACAAGTATCCATGTGGGTGACGCTGATGCTTTCGTTCAACTAAGTATCTAGTTTTTTTTGAAAGAAAAAAAAGGATCTACTCCCACATGGTGCTCATTTGATGAATACCTGACTGCTTCAGATACGACCATTTGATAAAAAAGAAAGTATAATCCTCGTGTACTTTATATACTTTTTGTTTTATACGTAAAAAAAATTGGGACTACAGGTGGTTTACATGGTCCGTAACTTGCTATGTCTACAAAATACTACTACATGCTTAGTTCTTTTCGTCCATAACAAACTTTTGACCAGCGACGTAGGCTGGTGGAGCGACAGCATTGGCGTCCTTCTCCATGGTTGCGACGGGAGTGTATGGGCAAGAAACAACATCAACGTCGCTTAAAGCGAGTTCAGGGTGTGCAAGTTCATACTTGAGCTTATTGTAGTAGGAATGGATAGCAAGGGCATAGTGAAGCTAGCGGAGATAGAAGGAGTTTAGTAATGGCAACGCTATCTGAAACATGACATCGACGATATGCATACCTTGAGCAACAAGTTCAAGGCAAGAGCCACGGTGGCAATAGACGCAGTGTCAAGATAAACATTAAGGCATTCGTCCATATCCATGTTCTCACCGTTACCCAAGTCGGTGTGGGCAACTTCATCGCAAACATCTTGACTGATGCTGAAGGCAACGAAGGCAAAGGAGGTGGAGAGGATGAAGTTGAGAACAAGTTCGACCCAGTAATAGATAGAGAAGACTCTGACTTTCTTGATGTTGTTCTGTGAAAAAAAGATACGAAAGTCAATTGATTGAAAAGAAAAAAAAAAAATCGGTAAAAGCAGGTAAAAAATGTACCTTGGCAACACCAACAGCGCCGACAAGACACAAGAGGCCAGTAGCATATGAATAAAGAGTGAGACCGGTGTACATGCTAGAGAATTCGTCATTCTCAAGCGAATCGACCATGCCAGTCATGGCAAAGGCGGACCATAAATGACTCATTGCCCCGAGCACGGCAAGCAACAATGTTGCCGTTCTATTTTGAAAAAAGAGTGAGCACACATGCTTTTGCGAAATAACAGGACAGTGTAAATGACAGATTTACCTCAGGTCAACACAGAAACAACATTTTGAAAGCATTTGATAAGGAAAGACCAGAGGACTCTCAAAGCTTGGCGAGGCTTGGAAATTTCTATACCGTCAACCAGGCATCACCTGACCACTTCATTTGGCAAAAGTGGATGGTCTCACACAGCGTGATTGGTTTGCTACAATTTTTTAATACTGTCAACCTTCTAACTATTCAAATATCTAAAGATTCTAAAGAATCAACGTCGTCGTCATCCTCTTCTGCTTCGTCAGATGAATCAATTTCTTGATAAAATTTTTGTATTTCTTGCTGACGTTCAGCTTCACTTGAGTCAGCCATAACGTCTTTGCCATCCATTAAATCTCGCCTATCGGAAAACTTTGCCAGGAATTGTCGTCTTTCCGCCTTGTATAATTCCTTTTCTTCTTCAGTGCGTGCGTCCTGGTTTCCGGTTTCCAAAAAGGCCGCTTCATCCGAGCTACCGCCTCCGTCGTCACTGAATTCTCGGGACAAAGCGTGCTGAGCTCGCAATTGAAATCCTGCTCCTTTGCCAAGGTGGCCGTTGGCTTTGCTCCGCTTGGTTTTCACCGCCCGCATCTGATCGCGTACATGCTCACGGGCACGCTGAATGGCAGCCTCAATTCTCACTCGGTTGGATATCATTGAAATGCTTGGCCATGTCTGCGCTTGGCCCACCTTGATCATATGGGCCAGAATCGTTTCGTCCGGGTCAGTTAATATCCGTGGCCAATCAGACAATCTTGACTTTGGCTGCCGGAGATTCAAATCGTAAATTAGACACTGGTTAGAACGGGATTGGATAAAACAATGGCACTTACGATGATCGTAACGCTGCCTCCGAATTGCTGGAGAAATACTGAACTCCAGTCTTGATTGAGCAATCTCGGCATTAATTCTAGGTCTCTAATGACTTTGAGCCATTTTGAAAGATCGAGCTTGAGGAATTGCTCTATCGACGACGCTAAAAACCCTCCACGCCTTCGATCCAATTTTTTTTTTTAGTTTTTTTTTTTTTTTAGAATTCAGGGTAGTTTGGTCATCATCACGTCGTATAACTTACCAGCCTTTGCCAGATCTATGTAAAACTGGATTTCCTGGGCTGCCTTGGTTACTATAGTAAAATAGATGCACGTGAGGGTTGACTTGGGATACCTAAATGGTAATGTCAATGTTTGTATTCTTTCTTCTCAATTCAAACAAACTCGCCGAACTTACTATGGTGTATTTTACATTGAATTGAGTGTGAAGTGCTTGTGTTGGTATATCGGTACGGAGAGATCCATCTTTCCATTTTGCTCCAAAGCTATAAGGAGCCAGCTCATCTGTTCCTGGAAGTTTTTGCATCAAGACTACTGGGTTGAGAATCTATATTTGAAGAAGACCAGAAAGAATGGGTTATAAAAGCGATTCTTCTCAGCTTGTGCGTGAAATGCCATTGCCTTTACTTACACCAGGAACTGCAGCCGATGCGATTATGGCCGTGGCAATGACGCAATGTGGTGCTGTTAGGTAGTTCAAAAGCTTGGGAGGTGAATGCGGGTCGTGCGGGATCACAGATATGTTAAGAATTCTGCCCGTCCTCTCGTACGCTTCCAAAAATGTGAGTGATCCACGAGTAAACCATGATCCTTTGATAAACCAGTCAACGCTGTCAAATCTTGCTCCAGTGCGATAGTACCGTAACATCCATCGCCAAGTGGATTCATAGGCGATTGTGATTCGACTGCTCAGCTTTGGATTAAGCACCTGAGCAAGTTCTTCGTCCGTTCTGCAGCAAACGAGGGCAGCAATCAGTCCACCAGCGGATGTCCCGGTGATAACAGATGGAAGCAATCTGCGATCGAATAAAGCCTTCACTACACCCAGATGATAGTAGCCAAACGTAGCACCCCCCGACAAACACAAGGCAGTACGACCATAGTTTTTAGAAAAGAGTTTGAATGCAAGCTGTCTTTCCTCTAGCGACAGATTCGAGTTTTGTGAAAAGGCAGTGATCGACTTGGTCACTATAAACAGAGCGGTGAGAACCTACAGAGACCACACAGCAAAAAAGGCAGTAAATTGTTTTTACCTTCTTCGACGTAATCCTCAATAAGATGTTTGGTGCCGAGGAATGTATTGCTATACAGCTTTTGATTCTCGATGCCACCAAAATTGTTTTTGAGGCAAGCGTATAATATATCCTTTTGCTTCAATGCATCACTTGGTTTATCTGATTGTCGGTATTTGCTCAGGTTTCGTACAATTTTGTGAATCAATGCGTAGTCGTAATATCCATAAGCGTCTATCTCCTTCCACTCATCCTTTTTGAATTGCTTGTCCAACGCCTCCGCCGTTTGGCACCACTCTTCATATGTCGTTGCTTGTTGCATATTGTGACGTAGGGTCTGGCTTTTACCTCTCCTGGTATACAGGTTTGTCAGCGCAGCCACTTTTTACATCAGGTTAAAACTTTGGCACCTACCAATTGACAAGCCATTCCCAGGAATTGACAATTTGCCGTAACCATAAATAAAATGTAAGCTCAATGGCCATGATAAGGCCAATGAATGCCTAAAACAGCAGGTCAGCTGGATATACAAGCAGAATGCAAATATGTAAGTTATATACGTACCATTAAGGGATATCGCAATAAGGTGTATGAAAATCCTAAAGTCAAGTACGACGAAGCTGTCAAATCAATGGGACAAAACCTAAAGCGATGGTATGCGGCGCTTACCCTTGGGATAACCAGCGTCCGTCTTCACCTTCTTTTTTGATTTTCGTTTCCGAGAGACCTTCTCGCGCACAGGAGCAAAGTCGTTCAAAGCAGAGATCTGTTCCGTTCCAGAGTCAGCGCCTATACTTAAGACGGACGGGCTTTTGAGTGGATCATAATAGAGGGCTCGTTCAAATGCTTCTACGTCACTTTCTTTGACCCATTCCAGTTCAAACTCGTTTGGAATAGTCTTCTTTTCTTTACGTACGTCTTGATAGGATGCGGACCGACCGACAGTTGCAGCGCTTGGCGGCTTGCCTTCGTCAGGTCGGGGATTGGTATATGACAGTGAACGATTCAATGTTCCAGATTGGGACCTCGAATCGCTAGCAGCTCCACTTTGATAGTGAGTTATTGGATCATTCATGTTCCTCAACAATTAGCATCAGAAATGTAGAGTAATTAAATAAGCTGAAACTTTTTGGGTCGTTCCATGAAATTCATGACATGACGATTTACCACTTTCCATATATGGATGGCAGTTGAAGGAAGCTCAAACATCGATGATGTTAGTCAATAACGTAGACAAGGAGCAAAGTGTTGGCAAGAGTTCATTAGACAACTTTTAAATGAACTGGCCTCAGAACAAAGGCTTACTGTGAATGATAAAAGAGGGTTTGTCTAGGCTGGCGGTTAGTGTCCATTTCAATATGTACTCTGAAGCATATCCTGGGCTTCCCGAGCACTGGTGCTGAAGGAAATAGAAACCGGGGAGGGTTTGCACCCGTGGAATACTTCTTTATGACAATGTACATCCCTAAACTTAACAAGCAATCCTCCATGGGCCTTCAGTTTATTTACATATTCCAATAGAGCATTTGTTATTGCTTTGAATTTCTGTAAGGTCGCCCTTCAGCAGGCTCCTCCGCCCTCAAGGCATGTGACTAGCCCCAGATAGAATTTGGGAAAAGAGTGCGTGCCACTTTTTTGTACCTCGTAGCGTTGGCCAACACTTGTTTTTTTTCCCTTCACTTCTGCTTCTCCTTAGGAAATGGGTAGCCAGTCTAAAGGCCAATACGATGGCGGTTCATCACCTGGTCTATCTGGGCTGATGCAAGATGTCGATTCTTATATTTATGAACTTTCATCCAATCAATCTCAAACTGGTGTGGCTGGACAATCCAGTTATCCGCAGCAGCAATCTCGTCCTCATAACGGCTACATGCCTTCTACGCATCGACATCAGAATATGCCGGTATGTTGCACAGCTGTTATTTCAATGTCACGGCATGATGACTGCCGCTCGAGATTACCCCCCAAATACGGATCTCCATAAACCTTAGCCCGCTCAGTCCTTTATGCTGACAACTTTTTCATTACCCTCTAGTACAATCAGTACGACAATCCAAGTCTTCTCGCACCATACAACAGAGATTCCGTCGGATCGTATGAAGACCATGGCTATCCCAGCTATGGCTCACAGCCTTATCAAAGTAGTACACAAGCGCCTGCCTATTACTCTAACTCTTCGACTGCTTCTTACGGACAACAACAACAGTACTATGATGCAACATACAGCAACCAAGGCTACCCTGCAGCGGTGTATCCTCCTGTAGCTGCTGCAAATGATGTGTATCCTCCGACGTACCCGAGATATAGTCTATCGGATAGGCAATCGGACGGTGGCCTACAGATGCCTGTTCCTTCTGATTATTCTTATGCACATCAGACAGCAGCAGGATATGAAACATCCTATCCGCCGTCCGATTACCAGTCAGTTCGTACTCCACCAGGCTCCCCTGGACACCGCTATACGACTCATAATCGTCCTTTGTCGGGCCAATTTTATCCGACCTCACCATCCAACCAACACTTTCAACAGAACGATACTTCGTCCACATACAGCAATGACTACAGTCAGGTCAGCAGTCGCTTTGACAGAATATCGTTAGATCAACGTCCTCCGCCGCCTGCCTTACCATCGCACGATTCGTATACCAACACGACGTTATCGTCCTCATCATCTCAGCGTCATCACCATCCTTTGCCCGAAACCCCAGCCAACATGGTCGAGCAAAAAAGTCTACCTCTCCCACCGCCCGAGATCCCTCCCAAGTACACCGAAGCGAAAGGGCTACCTCAACCACCGTACGGTGTGCCTGAAAAGGAATCTCATTACAATCATCGAGCGGCTCCACCAGCTCCCATTGTCATTGCGCCTGTAGTACCCCCTCAAGCGCCTGTGAAAACGTATCATCTCTCCAGAGATGATGATGTTGACTCTCCTCCGGACAGTCCTATATTTCAAAAGGTGGCGAAAACGACTGCTTATGCCATGCAGGGGAATAACTATGCCTTTCTTTCCATCCTTTCAAGAGCTTTCACCGCCAAAATTCGAGCTTTGGAACATGTCCGTGAATTGTTCTGTGCGTTTGAGTATCCAGAAAGTTTTACTGGTCAGGAGGCAGTGGTAAGTGGTGTGAGGCGGTGAAAAAGTGAAATTTTTATCTTTTATTTACCATCCCTATGTATAGAATACCCTAAGGGCTCTTTTGCCTGAGCATTTCACCAATGCGCAATGTCTCAAGGTTGCCAAGGCGCTTATGCATACTAAGCCTCAACTGTTCATGCCGATTCCCTATTCTGAAAAATCATTACTGAAAAACACTGTTTACGACTCGCCGGACGAGATTTACACTTTCGACGAAGATACTGGCGACCAAGAATATCCTTATGGCATCTACACTCCACTTACTCCATGCTATGTTCGCGGTTGTATGCCAGCTGGAGGTGGTTGTTACGCCCCTCGATGTCCTAATCGTCCTCCCCGTAGAGATGTTCCAGTGTTGACTCATGTAACCGAGGTTACCGAGGATGTAAGTGATGTGATGGTTAGGCGCGATGACGCTATAGGATATGCTTAGGCTAACACGAATGGGGGGATTGTCTATAGCAACAGTTAACAACAGATAATGACGGGAATGATCATCGTGCATCCGTGCACTCACAGAATTCATTTGAAGCGGCCGAACATATAGAAGAAGAGGATACGGTAAATCTTATACTGAATTCCCTCCCGGGTCACATCACTTCTTGCTAACCTTCGTCCAACCCTTTAGCCTCACTCTATTCGTGCATGGGCTGCTAATGTGCCGGAAGAGTTGCGAAGTAGCACATCCAAGGACGAAATTGCTCGACAAGAAGCTATCTACGAATTTGTGTATTCTGAAGAGGATTACAATAAGGATCTCAATGTGTTGCACGAGGCAAGTGGCTGACTTGATGGATGCGCAACATGCCAATACATGAAACTAATGAAATTAATTGTGCACGGGCTACAGTTCTTTGTGGAACCACTTAAAACGTCTTCGATCATTGATTCCAATAAGCGAGACTCCTTCATCAGAGAAGTCTTTAGTAATTATCAGGAAATTCGACAAATCAGTACAGATGTTTACAGGGATTTGAGAGATCGTCAACGCAAATACGACAAGGAACGCGTTCCTGAGATCGGTGATGTGTTCTTAAAACACCTTCCCAGCTTTGTCGAGCCATACCGGCAATATGGACCTCATTTCATTTTGGCTGAACATGCCGTGCAATCTGAAACCAAGAAGAACGTGGCATTTGCCAACTTTGTGAAAGAAACGGAATCGCGCGACATTGAGCGTACTCGCCGACTTCCATTCCGCCATTTCCTTATTTATCCCGTCACTCGTATGCAACGTTATCCATTGTTGCTTGACGCTATATTGAAAAAGACACCTGAAGACCACCCAGATCATGCCAACTTGACGGCTTGTCTTGAAATCATTCGAGGCATTGCTACAGATGTCGATAAATTGACGGCTGCCTCCAAGCAAAAACTGCGAGTCCTTCAACTTGATGAATACATCACGTTCAAGCAAGGTGAAATTGTCGATCTCCAGTTGACCGACCCACAACGTCAATTGTTCTTTGAAGGAGACCTCAAACGTCGCAACACCAGTGGTTTGGAAATGACGGAAAAGCAAGATTTGCATGTATTCTTGTTTGATCACGTCCTGTTAATGACCAAACCTCGCAAGGGTATTACGGATGAAGAATATGTCGTCTGGCGACCACCCATCCCTCTCCAACTGTTATTTGTGCATAACAACAGCGATTTTGGTCTATATACCCCTCTCACTGCAGGGTCGAACATGCTCATGACAAGCACCGGTAATGGTGCCGGCACCAATGCTCTTACCATTCATCATCTTGGTCAGCGTGGAAATATGTATCACTTTTATGCCAATACCACCACCGAGAAGCAACAATGGAAGGAAAAGATTGACGAGGCCAAGGAAGCATTGCGAAAGAAGCATGGTGATCGTGAAGTATTCGAACTTCGTACTCTTAGCGACTCCACTTTCCCCAGCACTACCAGCAGCTCTATTACTGGTATGGGCAAAGTCAACTGCTCGACTCCGTTCATGGGCAGTGATGGATATAAGCGTGTGGCAGTCGGAACTGATGCAGGTGTATGGTTTGGCTTAGAGGGTGATACCAACACTTTCAGACGAGTTCTGTCATCACAATCCGTTACTCAACTGGCTGTTCTGGAGGACAATAATATTTTACTTGTTCTAGCAGGTGAGTTGCATTAGCTTATCATAACGGGATTTGAAGGCGTATTGACAGGGTATTTGCAGAAAAATCCTTGACGGCTTATCCCGTACACCTCTTGACATCTCCTGTCAATAGCAAGGCTCCCGATCGACATTCTCAATCCATTGCTCAGCACGTAGCTTATTTCCAAACCGGTGTTTGCAATGGCAAAAATTTGGTTGTCTACATGAAGCGCAAGAACACCAACAGTGTCTTCACAGCACTTGAACCTTCGTGCGGTGATTTGCGTGATCCCAAAAACGCAAAGATGTTGACCAATCGACCTGGTTTCTTGGGTCGTGGAGGTTCGACCTGGTTCAAGCATTATAAGGTAAGAAGGAAAGGTGGTGGATGTGTGTCTCTGCATAACCATTTTTATTGACGCTTTGCTTGTTACATACAGGACTTTTACATTGGAGCAGACTCTAGCAATGTGCACTTTTTGAAGTCCAAGATCAATGTTGTTTGCGAGAAAGGATTTGAGATCATCGATCCTGAAAACCTCAATATCAGCCGTAACCTTCCCGATCTCCTCGATCCACAGTTCAATTTTGTGCAAAGACTAGGCGATTCCTTGAAGCCTTTGGCTATGTATCGTATCCACGACAAGTTCTTGATGTGCTATAACAAGTTTGCCTTTTACGTGGATAATCATGGTGCTCTTGTTCCACGCGGTCCTTCTAGGTAAGTCAGCGATATCCTTTTCGCTCCAAAGTTGCTTCTCAATAGTCTAACGCTTTCGCCATTTTAGAACACCATTGCTGTGTGAATGGGAAGGCACACCTGATTCCGTCGTGTACTTCCATCCTTACATCATTGCGGTTGAACCTCAATTCATTGAAGTTCGTAACGTGGACAATGGAGAGCTCATTCAAATTGTTCCTGGTGAACATGTTCGTCTAACCCACTATGGCGCTACCAACACATACCCGGTTATCCACGGTTGCATGAATCATTCGTTCAGACCAGAGTACCAACACCTCTTCCAATTCGTCAACCACATGCAGCGAACCAGTAGCCAGACCAACTATGCCTCTATGCGAAGATGATGAATTGAATTCATCGCCTACTCCCTTACAATTTATTCTTTCTTCCGTGTATCATTTTTGTTTGTATTCACTCTCATTGTTCATTCGATTGTTCTCTTAGACACCATGAACACAGCTAGCTATCTTCACTGCTACCCGTAATGCTCCACGGCAACTCCTTTTGCCCCCTCCGCCCCCCCCCCCCCAAAAAAATATGATATTATAACGATTTTCGTTGTCTTTTTGCCTTGTGTGTGAAAAAGGGTTCAATCACAACACCATCTTTATTACCAACTGTGCGACCCATGTGCCATGCCTACCATTCCCACCACGTTATCAAAAATGATTCCATGATACGGTCCAGTGGGGGCATGTGTACAGAGAAAATATGACAAACCCTGCACTTCTTTGTCGGCTGTAGTACCATTTTCTTCTATGCGCATTCGTTGGCTCGGCCAATATACATTTCCCTTTGATTTCCCTTGAAACCATCAGCGCATCAATTCGTCTTGTTTCAGGGCCATGGCGCGTCGTTCTATTGAGACATTGTTTGCATTCAATCCAATTTTTTTTTGCATGAACTTAAAGGCAGTGGTTAAAACCGGTTTGCAATTTCGTCATTGGACCCATCGGTCTACGTTGCTGTCACACAGTTGCTACTTTTGCGCTGCAGGTCTGGTGATGTTATCTTGTGACTTGAACGCGTTCCAGCTGAAGAGTCGTGTTTTTATGTCTTTTTGACGTCAGGTATGCCCTTCCAAGTCTCCTCCATTGCCATAACATAGGTGGGGGGAGGGACAAAGAAGGAAGTTGGGTGGGCAGGAAGGGAAAGGTTAAAATTTCACCGTAACCTTTCGATCACAACCACTCACTTCATTCGTGGCCAGATGATACAGCCAGAAAAGAATGAATATTTTTAAAATCAACAGACTTCTGTTTCAACATTACTTGGCTTTCTTTTTTTCCCTTTTTCTCTTTTTACTGTTCAACTCCTGCAAACGCATCAGCTTATCGCCTCCGTTCAACGAGGCTAAACACCAATTTTGTACAAAGCTCAATTTTTAAGGACCTTTTAGTTTTATTATACTGACAAGTAATATATGGTCATGGCGCCTGTAGATCATTCATTCTATTCCAAGCGCTCGTCTAGACGAAAGCAAGGGGAGATCGACAAGGTATATACGTCTATCACCGTGGTACCATAGAGCACTGACTTATATGATATGGTTAGCTTTTAGAGCGAATGCACATTCGACTCGCTTTAGCTGCGTTCAAAGCGCAATATGGATATGAAACCTGTGCGTTGGATACGCTAGAGTCTAAATTAATGCGACATAGTCCGCTTTCTCCTTACAACCATGCACATGGTTATGCCAAGCAGGTAGCTCGTTCTACCACTTCTTCCAACGAATCGTCCTCTAGTACTGAAAGAAAGGTGCGTAGCTCATCTCGACTGCCCATACGCAAAGCCTATCATGATTATGGTAAGTTCCGCTGAGAAGTGCCTGGGGAGATTCAATCGACAAAACTATGAAACCATTCTCACCTCACTTACCCCGCCTGGCTAGTTGTTCATTCAACACGGACCCCGCCTCCTACCTCTCCACATCGACGTAGCATCAAGGCTGCCTCCAAAGCCTATTTAACTCCTACATCGCCAATGTTTAACCCACCGGTGGCCGATGAATCTGCCAAGAGAAGTACAACACCACATCGCTCAAGGACGCCGCGGAGTATGTCGCCCACCTACCGTCGGCAACACCATAGCCCTACGCCGCAGAAGCCAAGTACGTCTCTATGGGACCAAGCGGCTGAGCCAAGTGTAGATGAAACCAACGCTGCCAATTTACTAATGGGGCTATGGTACGCTCGATGAACCAGCCAGCTTGAGAAAACCCCCCAATAGAAAACACATTAACTAGCCCCCTTCCTCTACGTTTTGTCTCCCAATAAGTTATTTCACATCTATTTAATTAAATAAGCTGAAAGACCATGCTGGTGAAACGTTGGTACAAAGCCTTTGATGGGATGGAGCCAAAAAAATCTATAAAATTGGCGCTATTTTAACTCTCCCTTATTTTTTTTCTACTTGCGCTCTTTCTTTCTTCCTTCCTTCCTTACACTATTCACACTATGGTACCTACCTATGACTGGGTAGAGATAATCGATCCTCAGTCAAAGGACACTTTCTTCGCCAATCCGGTAAGATTTCTTTTTTTTATTTGCGGGGTCATCCCGTTTCACATGGCTGATCTGTGCAATTCAGATGACGGGAGAATGTATTTGGGAACGGCCTAAACAAGGAACAACGTAAGTCGTCATAATCGAGATATAAATCCCCAGTTCGGTTTGGCTTTATTAAACTAGTTCGATTTTTAGTAAAACGGAGGATCCAGAAGGTGATTGGTGGGAGCTATGGGACGAAAATAACAAGCTACCCTATTATTACAACACTTTGACCGGCACCACGGAATGGTTTAGACCTGAAAACAAAACCATCATTCCATTGATGAAAATTCAGGTAAGCCCAATGGGAAATCCCTCTTCCCAGCCTTGGGAAATGGCTGATTTGATTTGTCTGCAGCAAAATTCAGCCATTGGAAAACGAATGTCCGATATATTATCCGCGCAAAACGACGTACCCACTTTTCTACAAGAGGACACTGACCAAAAACCAACACCGTTGGAGCCGCCGCTGCGATCGCCGACATCCGCCATCAATCCATCGGCACAGCCGAATACCGCTAGCTTTGAATCATCTCCTGCCGTCAATGCCAAGAGACATAGTCGATCACTTGATTTACCAGTATCTGAGCTGAAGGAGTCGGAATGGTCTGGTATTCATCACCAACGTTCAAATTCAGATACCCGCAAAGATGTTCCAAAGGAATCGTCATACATTGAACACACTGATGGTCCGGGGCTGGTTCCCGAATCGTTAGCCGCGGCTTTGCCACCTTCTCCATCCCCAACAAGCAACAGTAGTTTATTTACTTTAGGACGAAGACAACCCTTCGGAGATTGGAAGCGTAGCGCACGAGGAGCCAACGGTGCGGTGATAGAGGTAACGATTATCTTTTTAGTCAAGCATGGGAGGTTGCGGGATACTAATGTTAGGGCATGTTCTTTTCCGAATGTAGCAACCTCCAACCGCAACTCGTAGTACCAAGTCAGCTCGCCAATCTCAATTTTCACTTTCGCGCGCATCCATTGAATCAGCCTTCATGAGCTTGACAAAGTCTTATAAGTCCAGTTCATCTGCTTCTAGACACATCGAAAACAAACCCTTGCCGACTGGTCGATCCTTGTCTGTAAGCGATCCTGTTGCCAATCCAGGTGCGTGCTGTACAACCCATTATATAATATTGGTGCTACCTGCTAATTTCCCCGCCACATAACAGAGGCTGCTACCGCCATGAATCCACTTAACCAACCACCCACTGCCAATCCTTCACCTCCACCCATGCCACCACCGCATGCCAACAATGATATGTAAGTCCTTTGAAGTAACTGAAAAAAAAGAAATAAAGCATTGCATGGGTCCGAAAACGTCTTTTCACTTACCTTCATCTCGTTAGACCCACTTTACCAGCTAATTTACAACGTGAGATCACTCAATTCGCCATCGACGGCTTTGCAAAGAAATATTTCTCAACACATAAGAAGGGATTGTTCCGTCGCAAAGTCCCTATGGAAGAGATGTTGCAATGGACCAAGGTACAGTACCCTTTCGAGGTGGCATCCAACCTGGAAAGAAGACTTTATTTTCTATAAAAAAAAAAAAAAAAAAAGAAGACTTTATTTTTAATATAAATGCGCATTTCTATTTTACTTTGTAGGACTCCATCAAGCAACCTCTTATGATGCTTAACAAAGATTTGCACAAGGATGCTCTGAAATCCTTCAAGCTCATACAAATGATTATGGGGGATCGAAGTCGCCCAAGGAACTCCTCTGCAAATGAAGATTTACAGTGGCTATGCAATTGCGGTATTACGCAGGGTCAAATGAGAGATGAAATTTATGTTCAAGTTTGCAAGCAATTGAACAATAACCCCAACAAGTAAGTTTTTCTCCTAGCCTTGCCGTTTTATATATATGGGCTGACGATTTCCATTGACTCTTTGCAGCTGGAGCGTCTTGAAAGGATGGGAAATTCTATGCGTCATCACCATCACTTTTCCACCTTCAAAGAATTTAGAGTCCTATTTGACCGAGTTTGTCAAACAGCATCATGATCAGAAGGAAAACAAGATGGATGTGATGAGCCAACATGTGTCATCAAAACTTACCAAGATATGCTCTCGCGGCGCGAAAGGCAAAGTATTGACAGTGGCTGAAATTGAAAGAGCCAAGGTAAAAAGAAAGCGCAGAATCGTTATTGCTTCAATTGCTTTCCCGCGCTAACGAACTCCTTAAACTACATAGGATGCCCCTTTCAAACCTTCAGTGTTTGGAGAGACGTTGGAGTTTATCATGGAACAGCAAGCTAGTACTACTGATCTCGATATTCCCAAGATCGTCCCCTTCTTGGCCAACATGGTGTTGGAGTTGAATGGATTGACATCCGAAGGCATTTTCCGTGTTCCTGGCGATGCGGACGATGTGACCGAGTTGGTAAGTGTTGGAAACAAGACATGGGCATTCGAGATGTACGGGTTGCTGATCCAATCCAACCAACAGAGAATCCGCATTGAAAATGGACGCTATGACTCAGCTGGCATTACTGATCCTAACGTCCCCGCTTCATTATTGAAGTACTGGCTACGTGATCTTGCAAACCCATTGATCCTTACCGAGTATTATGAGCTATGCATCAAACATTCAGAGGATATCAACCAAGCCATTGAAGTCATTCAGCAACTCCCTGAAGTCAACCGACGCATCGTGCTGTATATGGCCAACTTTTTAGCGGTAAGTGTTCAGACGAAAGGCGGGGAAAAAGAAACAACGCAGGTGCTGATCATCCCCAAAACCTTGTTTTTCTCCCAACAGAAATTTACCGCCCCCGAATCCACCCAATTGACAAGAATGAATGTCAATAACCTGGCCATGGTGTTTGCACCCAACTTTCTTCGATGTCCATATGATTCATTAACTAGAGTATTTGAAAACTCGAAATGGGAGCAGGCCTTCTTAAGGACACTTATCGAGAATTCTGAGCTACTGAATGAAAAATTATACTAGTAAAACCCTTGTATCAAGTAAAAACATTGTCAAAATGAAATGAGCTTTGTCACATCTTTGCACGGGATCGTGCGAAAGCTGGGTTAGGGGATACGGATAAGCGGGGATAGCATGTGATCGTTGAAGCATCCTTACAAATTTTGTAACAAAACCCTTTGACCCCGCTCTTCCCCCACTCCACTTCTGAATGGCTCAGCTGTCACCTAATGTGTCGGTTCAGCAGGATCCTTCTGCTCACAGACTGGCCGGTGAGGTAGTGGAAAAGAGGAACACAAAGAACATGGACTATGTCATTCGATCGGGTTTGGCAGGTGGCATTGCCGGATGCATGGTAAGTCAACTTCCAGGGAAAATCCGAAACTTTCAAATAATCCTAAAGTCCCCGTACAGGCCAAAACAGCTATTGCTCCAATGGATAGAGTCAAGATATTGTTCCAAACTCGGAACCCTATATTTGAGAAATACGCCGGTAAGCGAGCCGTACATTGCTGGAGAGAGAGACTCAGATAGAAAAGGCTAAACATGAGCACTTCCATAGGCACTTGGACTGGCGTATTCAGGGCTGGAGGAGTGATTGTCAAACAAAATGGCTTGAGTGGATTGTTCCAGGGCCATAGTGTAACTTTGCTGCGTATTTTTCCCTACGCCGCCATCAAGTTTGTTGCTTACGAACAATTTAGAACCGTAAGCATTAGTTTCCTAGAGTGTTTTCGCTTTGCCACTTTTTTTACTCACTCACTGTCTATTCTGCAGCTGTTGATGCCAACACGTGCTCAAGAAAGCTCCATGAAGCAGTTTATGGCGGGCTCTATGGCAGGTGTCACATCCGTCATGTTCACCTATCCACTTGAACTTGTCCGAGTGCGATTAGCCTATGAAGTTCGTGGTACCGGAAAAGAAAAACCCAGCGTTCGATTGACTTGCCAGCAGATCTACAACGAGCGAGCAGCATTACAGAGCAAGGGCATCCATTGGCGAATTCTCAACTTCTATCGCGGGTTCTTACCGACCCTAGTGGGCATGGTTCCCTACGCTGGAGTTTCGTTCCTGACTTACTCAGCGATGACAAATTATTGCAGGTACAATCCGCTTGTCACCAAATATACCTTGAAACCTTTCGACTTTGATCCCTCTTCAACCAACTTGACACACGAACAACAAAAACGTCGGGATAAACCAATTCTAAAGGCTTGGGCTGAATTGTTCTGTGGAGGTGTCGCTGGTGTGGTTGCACAAAGCTGTAGCTACCCGCTTGAGGTAAGTTTCCAATGACTAAATACATCGCTCATCACTTCTTCGTAGCCTCATCATGTATTGTAGGTTATTCGTAGACGAATGCAAGTTGGCGGCCTGATGAATCCTAATGCCTTTGTAGGTTTTTGGGATACGGCCCATGATATATACCGAGTCAAAGGCTTCAAAGGCTTTTATGTTGGTCTTAGCATTGGATTCCTCAAGGTGACTCCTATGGCAGCTGTCAGCTTTGCCGTATATGATCGGATGAAGGTGTATCTAGGGATTGATTAAAAAAAAGACTCCTCCCACACATAGACATTTTGTGGAGAAAATCCCCTACTACTATATTTTTTTCTTCCTGTACCAACAGCCTCTTTTTTAAAAAACTAGGACCTTCTACACCTGTAGCGTTTGATTACGGGTACGCTTTGTACAGTTTCCTTCATGTCCTGGATATAAACCGGTTTTTCACAGTAAATTACCCGCATGCGTGACTGCTGGCGGAGCACGTTTGGGAACAGAATGGTTGCGCGATCAAAGTGATCACTTTATTCATTTTCAACATGTCAGCTCAGGAGCGCCCAGTTGTGTTTTTCGACATCTCCATTGGCGATGTTCCAATTGGACGAATGAAAATGGAGCTCTTTTCAGACATAGTACCCAAGACGGCAGAGAATTTCCGGTACGCTATATTGGTGTTTTTACGTGGCTGCCCAGCTGGCGAATCCCTATACTAATCAGTGATTTCTTTCTTTTCTGTGAAGACAACTGTGTACTGGTGAATACAAGTGCGTATTGCTTTCAGCATTGGCCGGTGTGAATTTCACGTACTAATCTGTTCCCTCGTTAGGCGCAACGGTGTTCCACAGGGATTCAAGAATTGTTTGTTCCATCGGTAAGTGACTTTGGCTTGCTCCCCCTTGCCTGGCTGCTGCCACTCACACACTCCCAAAGCGTCATCAAGGACTTCATGGTCCAGGGTGGTGATTTCTTGAAGGGCGACGGAACAGGCTCCATGAGCATCTACGGCGACAAGTTTGCCGACGAAAACTTTGATGTCAAACATACCACTGCCGGGCTCCTGTCCATGGCCAACTCTGGACCCAACACCAACGGATGCCAGTTCTTCATCACATGCGACAAGTGCGACTTCTTGGACGGAAAGCACGTTGTGTTTGGCAAATTAGTCGATGGTTTGCTCACCCTGAGAAAAATAGGTACGTCGTGATTCATGTTGGCTGCGTGTCGCTCGCTCGCTCTGACCCCCCCGCGCAATAGAAAACGTGTCGACCGGCCCAAATAATCGACCAAAACTTCCAGTCAAAATCACAGGTACAGTTGTGCACATCCTGCATGCGTCCCTGCCACCTTACTAACTTTTTCTCCAATAATTGTTACCATCTCCTTAGAATGCGGCCAAATGTAATTTTAATAATAACAAAAGATTCGAAACCAAGTGTATTTACTTTATGTTATGTGTTTATGGTACAACAATGAGAGAAACGAAAAATGGACACTCGTAGGGGATGGTTTCTATTATGCGAATAGGAATTAAAAAGAAAATTTTTAGAGTCCAGGCGGCTGCTGCTGTTGTTGCTGATGCTGCCTTTGCGCCAGCAGTATACGTTGTTGAAGTTCACGCACTGTTTCCGGCGACAAGCCGAGACCATTAAAGTTGAGCTGCCCGGCATTCATGTTCATCCCGCCCCCATTTGCTTGTGGCATACCCATATTGGCATTATTGAGGTTCATGTTGGACATGAGCAGACTGTTTGCATTTAAGCCTAGTGAAAATACCATCAGCCTCATACTCTTTACATACCCTCACATCAAAACTCCCTGTCTTACCGTTTTGCCCAGGCTGCACCGCCGCACCAGCCGGGTTACCAGCAGCAGCGGTCATCATCTGTTGCTGGTGCCGGGTCAGATTACGAAGCATTTGCATATTGGCGTTGTTATTGTTGTTGTTATTGTTCATGAGATTCGAAGCCAAATTAGTGTTGGCAGTGGGCTGCTGCATATTGGCATTGAGCATGGCCGCAGGATTATTAGGCGGTTTGGCAGCGGCTCCTACCACCGCCGGCGCATTGGCTGGTACCCCAGGCGTCGGCATGTTGGCAATATCAGGAATAGGAATTTTGGTGAATACAATACCGATGAGCTTTCCAGCAGAGTAGATCAAAACAAGCCCATGGTGCTGTTCCTGCATTCCAGTTGCCTGGTTGACCCCAGGGCTGTTGAACACCGCCGTTGCCATCTGGGTGGGTACAATCGTTAGATATATACTCCACATACACCCGTTTCCAGAGTATACTTACAAATTTTCGTTGTTCAAGATTTTTAGTGAGGAGTGAAAAGTTGTTAACATCCTGGCTGGTACTGTTAGCCGAAGGTCGGAACTGACAGTAGGGCAGATTGTTCTCTAATGCTTGCTTTTGTAATAATGCAGCTTTGGCAAGAGGTGACAATCCAGTGATCTGAATTCTTTGTGGCCATAATTCTGGTTGACTGGTATTCCAAATCATCGGTTAGATTACACTGTCATCGTCCGTTGGCCTATACCATCCTATTTTTCATCACTTACTAGCCGTCAACGGCAACAGCCGTGTTACTACTACCTCGAAGAGCAACGGGGTATGCACCACAATGACAAGCAAATTCTGTCAACGCTCCATGTGGGGTTTTGATGCTCCACACAATATGCCCAGTCCATATAGGGGATGCTGGCATCCCTTGCGGAATAGATTGCTGTTGTTGTTGTTGTTGTTGTTGCTGAAGCAACTGTTGAGGTGTCAAGCCCTGGTGTAGACCTGCCATCTGGGGCCGTTGCTGCATACCCATACCGACATCGACAGCATTTGGGCTGCTTGCATTCAATTGTTGCTGCAGCACCATTCTCTGCTGTTGGAGGGTATTTTGAAGTGACGTAGCTGAATTCAAGGTCGATGTTAAAAATCACATCTTTCATATTTGCACTACCAAAAAAAAAAAAAAAAATGCTTACGAGTTAAGCCGGTATTGGCCATCGACACCGTGGGAGAATTAGACGGTGGCATGGAACCAATTTGTTGTTGTTGCTGCTGCTGTTGGTTGGCAAATGCCATATTGTTCATAGCCGAGATGGGAGCAGTACTCTCGTTTCGAGCAATCTGCTCGTTTTGTTTGAGCTGAGCACGCTGTAACAACAATAGTTGCTGTTGCTGTTGTGGGGTGAGGTTTCCGGATGCCATCAACGCATTCCTTTGTTGCTGAATTCGGAACTGCTGAAGTTGTTGAGGCGTAAGCCCGGTTTGCTGCATCAATTGCTGTTGGATTTGTTGCTGATTGAGACCAGCTTGTTGCAGTCGCTGGGTGGTCTGCAGTATTGTGGAAGCCAGGAGAGCTTGTTGCTGCTGAACTTGTGCCTGCGCCTGAGCTTGAGGAGGTTTTTGCTGTTGCTGCTGCATTTGCTGCTGTTGCTGAAGTTGTTGCTGAGGGGTTTGTTGCTGCGGTGGACGTTGTTGTTGCATCTGCATTTGCTGCTGCTGCTGCAATAGCAAATTTTCGTTCATCTGCTGAGGCATTCCAGGATGCTGTGGTGGTTTGGTCCCTTGTACATTACGCATCTGAACAGGTTGCGTAACAGGTGCAGCATGGACATTAGCAATCGGCTGTGTACCTTGTTCAATCTTAATGGATGCGGGAGAAGGCTTGCTGGATGCTGTTGATGTGGGTGATGGTTTAACTTGAGGTGTTGGTTGATGATGAACAACCGGCGGCTTGGAGACTGCTGGTCCTGCAGCAGCCACGGCCGCTGGATCGTTGATAGTCTTCGTATCAATAGCCGGTTTTGGTATATTTATCGTGCCTGGCGAGTTGTCTCGCTTCATTCTCTTACTTGCAGGCGTCGTAGCAGTTGTAGTTTGAGAAGCTCCAGGGGAGCTCACCGATTTTCGTGCTTTGGTTTGATCTATACGTAAAATCCATGGTTGAGTGCTGTTTTTCTGTGCAATTGCAAATATGCTATTAGCTTACCAATGATCGGAACACCGCCTACTGACGGGATAGCAGATGTTGGCGGCGTTGGAGCTGGCGTTGCCTGAGGGGTTGGGAGTTTAAGACCGGCGAGCTGAACAACATGTAGTGGGTTGATAGTGTCTGTTATTTTGTTAATCTCGGTCTTCTTATTGTTGACCATCGCAGGCAGCCTTTCGAGCTCATGAAAGCCTTTACGCGGTGAAACCAATGACATTTGTACATTGTTCTGAGGGACGCGGCGAAATTAATTCTGTGATTTCGACGTACATTGTGTAGTTCAAACATACCTTGCGCATCTCTTCCACTATATTCGATAATCCAAATTTATCATACTTCTCTGAAATATTACAGCGAACACTCATATTATAGGGTAAGCTTGCTGCGACCAGAATGCAGTGAAAGATTGGATCGCTGGACGTTGGTTCAGCATTCAGCTTGTAGTCATCAAAAAGCTAAATCAGTGAAGCAGACCGGATCAGTAACTGTTCTCATTAAATTTTTTGATTCATGTGCTGACATATACCTCCAAGGCAGCTACTAAACCTTCATACACTGCATTCTTCAGAATTCCGCCTTGTGAGCAGTTGATATTCTTGAACACGCTGTGAAATAAACTGAAATCCGACGTAAAGTATTTTCGGTCGACTGTCACCGTGGATGATGGCTCATAATCGCCATAAACGACCAAACCATACTTTAGGATTGGCTATGTAAGGCACTACTGTCAGATTGGATGTATTCCATAGCTCAATTGAAATAGACCGGATAACTTACAGTGACCTTTGTTTTTGCTTGCTTCTCATCGCCATCAGTGATGATGGGCGCTCTTAATTGTCTGTCAAAATAATTGAAATTTGGAGCCGGTTAAAGATGTTTCGTGCCTAGCTGGTGGGGATCATACATCAGCAGAGCTTGGACATTAGTATACCTGAGGATAGGTTCCAAGTACGCTTCAAAAAGAGTAGCAAAATAGGGCTGCATTTTGGCAGTGCCTTCAACTACAAAGACGCACACCACTTCCTTTCGGTGCGGGTGTGGCATTGGGATCTGAGGCGAATTGTGCTGAGCAAACGTAGGCGACGACAGGGAAGCCGGAGTGGATATGGAGGACTGCCTCGGGGTAGTAGCAATTGCGGCTGCCATACTTGGAGTGGAGGAATCTCTGAAACCAAAATTACAGATTCACTTGGTATACGTTGCTACCCAAAATTCGAACTGTTCGCCAAACAGGGAGAGGTTGTAGGACGGGTTACAGCCTGATGGCTGCGATCTGACAAAATGTCGCAGGCGATGGATCAAGGCACGTCACAAGCAAATGTGCTTAATTTGATTTTACCCATTGAAATCAGTTGCCCTTCATAAAAAACAAAATTGCTTTATGTCTCTAAATAATAAAATCTACTATTATCGAAGTTCACTAGCGAGAAGTTCAGGGTGTTCAATATATAGCTTCCAAAGATTAGCAAATCGAGCAATAGTAGCTCCGTCAACCACTCGATGATCGGCAGACCAGCTCACAGGCATAATCATCTTTGGCACAACTTGTCCTTCTTCATTGTATCTTGGAAGGGTTTGTGTTTTTCCCAAAGCACATATGGCTACCTCAGAAGTTACAAGGACTGGGCTAGCGTATGTTCCACCAATTGTACCGACGTTCGACAACGTAATAGTACCATCCTTGAAGTCTGGTGGAGGAATGGCATTCTTTCTACCCAGCTCCACCAACCTATTAAGATCCTCAGCTACTTCCAAAATAGATTTGTTTTGTACGTTTTTGATATTAGGCACAATAAGTCCCTGAGGGGTATCCATAGCAAGCCCGATGTTATGTGAACCACGGTATTTGATCTGAACCTTGTTAGCATCGGTTGGATCATCGCCAGTAATCAAGCAAGCGTTGAGAATGGGATAATGAGTAAGGGCAACAGATAGAGACTTGATAAAGATAGGCATATAAGAGATCTTGGTAAAGGAGAATCGATCTGGATGCTGCGATATGTACTTTGTTATGACCTTGCGATAGTTGGCGGCAGCGTCCAACTCAAACTGATCCTTGTATCCAAAATGAGGAATCGACAATGATTTGGTCATGGATTTGAACATGGCTTTTTGATGTCCAGTTAGGGAAACTGTCTTGTCAAGTTCCCCATTCGTTACAGAAGG